AATGCAATCATCACTGACTCAGTCCTGGCGAGGTGCCCACCAAGAATCTCTCTAAGTGGTTTACATTGCTACATACGTCATGGAATGCTCTCCACAATGAATGAACGCCACGGCTAAGGTTTTTCCTTTCCTTTTTCTTTTTTGAGTCAGGGTCTTGCTACATAGTTCAGGCTGGCCTTGAACTCACCACATACCCCAGGCTGGCCTCCACTTTGCAGCAATCCTCCCGCCCCAGCCCCCCAGATGCTAGGATTACAGGTGTGCACCACCACGCCCAGCCTACCACTGTTAATTACCATCACTTTCTAGGCGAAGACAAAGAGATACTGGAAGGCTTAGCCTGTAGATAGGTCACACAGGTACACAGCCCTTACCCTCAGCACTTGCCCTTACCAGGCCTCCCAGTAAATGATATTGCCATGGTGAGAATCTCCAAAGCCTCAAGGTCAAAAAGCGCAATTACAACGTTGGGGCCCCTCTCCCGGATGCATTCATTCTCCCTCAGCAAATCTGCAGGGAGTTTATGAGTCTCAAACAGTGACCTTTCCTTCTGGTTACTGCTAGGGTAAAGAGCAATTTCCTTTGCCTAAGGTAAAGCAGTAAAGCAGGGAGAAGGCTGGAGTCACAGCCCTTTTGAGCCGGAGCCTCTGTGTAATGCTGGCCCAGGAAGGAACAGGGCTTGTGGCAACAAATAATTCTACTTCACAGTTTCTCTTTCCAGTTAGCAAGCTGCTAGCAGTCTTACTTAGTCATGGCAGTGACTCTGAACAGTTGCTGTGGGGCCCATTTCATAGGTAAGCTCACCTGCTCTGGCAAGGCCGGTCAGGAGATAAGTTACAATTAGGACAGCAGTCCCGTTGGAACTCTTAGACTTGTGTTCTTTTGCCAGGCAATCTCTGAATTCAGACTTCCATGCATTATGCAAGCGACACAGATGCACATGCAAGTCCCTGCACTCTACGACCCAAGGAGGCAGGCAGTGACTCACAGGCAGACAGTGACTACACGCAGCCACAGAGCAGCCTTTTCAAGTTGACCAAGAGAGGAGATTTAAGGGGTGCCCTGATAGTGTTCTGGAGTACACCCCCGGGCAGGAGGGATCAGGGTTAGGATGACCGAGAATGAAGGAACCAGCACCCATAAGTGAAGGACATTTCTCATTTTCCTTGTGTGTGTGGTGCTGGAGACTGAACCCAGCGCCTCTCACATACTAGGCATGGCTGTATTGCTAGCCCTTTTTGTTTTATTTTGAGACGAAGTCTCCCAGTTGAATTGCCCAGGCTGCCCTCAAAATTTATAATCCTGCCTCAGCCTCCCAAGTAGCTGGTATTACAGGTGTGCACCACTATGCCTGGCTCTGGATGTTGTTTTCCTAACATGCTACAGCTTTCCTTTCTCCCGTTGTCCATTGGCAGCAGTGACAATGAAACCCTTATTTAATGAGGATCCATTATTTGATGTTTCTCTCAACTACATTCGGGCCAGTTTGGGCGGCCTACTCAGTAATATCTCCCATTGAAGGGGGCAAAGTGACAAAACAATAGGAGTGACAGCAAGGACCCACGTGAGAACTGACCCACCCACACCTAAGAGACACCTGGAACGAGGGGAGACCACACGGAGCACCATTTCAGAGGGCAGGGCTCACCCAGCAAACATCAAGAAAGGAGAGGTGGGGGGCAGCAGATGAAAGGGAGTGAGATCCTTTCCTGCCAATGCCCAGGCTGAGCGGAGGCCCCTGGTCTGTGCCCTGGAGGCCCCGGGTCTCTGCCCCACAAGCCTGTTGGGTTGTTCACTTCCTAGTCTGGGGCCTGCTGGCAGTTGGAATTCTGTGACAGACTGCTTTGTATCTATATTCACAGCACATGGTTCCATGTTTGGTATGTACTCAGTGATCAATACATGTTTAAGTGAATGAATGAATGAATGATATATTCTTCTAGAATCTTTTTTTTTTTTTTTTTTTTTGAGACAGGGTCTCACGATGTAGTCCAAGCTGGCCTCAGACTCTTGGCAATCTTCCTGCCTGAGTCTCCTGATTCCTGGGATTACAGGTGTGCATCACCATGAGGACTGAAAATGTGTTCTGAGGGTCTGTGTGGGTTGGGGAGCTCCCAGCTTAGGCTCTGGGTTCAAATCCTCACAGGTACTCAGTGGCCATGTAACACCCAACAGCTCGGAGCCTCGGATTCCCACCTGTAAGATAGGAAGGTAACAGTGCCTACCACATAAGAACTATTGTGAGAATACATGCTACATGCTTATCATATGCAGCTCTGCTGGGATACAGCAAAGCTCTCCAAAATGTTAACCACTCCCAAGTATATTTTTAAGCCACAGTTTACAATGCAAAAATGATCACCAGCAAAGATCATTCCCAGGAGAGGAGAAATCCTCCTGTGGCGGGGAGACACGTTTCAGAGCTCCTCACATTTCCTGCCTCTCTGAGGCAGTTGAAAACTTCTGGTTCAAACTGCCTGGGGTGGGGAGGGTAGGAAAAAGGAGAGAGCTCCCCTTCCTTATTTGCTTGGCCTGGCACCTGCATTTGGTTGCTAGAGTGCAGTAGTGAACCCAGCAGAAAAATAGCCTGTCTTTCTCCATGCCTGCAAAGCAGTGGCAGGTGAGGTCCCAGGCTGCAGCCACAGGAAGGGAAGACCTGGCTTACTTCCCCTGTCCCCGCCCCACAGGCCTGACAGGAAGTGGGGCTGCCGAGCTTGGAGAGATCTCTGCTTGCACTTTAATTCCACGTGCTAATCAGGTGTCTTTCCCAGGGCCCTACTCTGTACCTGCCTGGCCCTGCACCCAGATAGGGGGAGGGTCCCTTTCCCCTCAAGCAGGCACTGCCTGCCACCAGGAGCTTCCTGGTTCCTGAAAACCTCTGGTGATAAATTATGCAGCAGCACCTTTGTGTCGCGGCTTCGCTGCCTCGGCCAGATGGGAGGATCGCTCCCAGTCTTTTGTTTCTGGCTTGCTCGCAGCTCTGATCCTCAGCTCTGCACAGAGGTGAGCAGGAGCTCCCATGAGCCAAGTCAGGGCTTGCTGCAAGTCCCAGGCAGTGCTCCTCCCCTCCTCACTCTCACCTGAATGACCAGGGGCTCCAAAAGCCCCACTCTGTGGAAGGGAGTGGGGCAGGACACAGCGGGGAGCAGGGCAGGGTACAGCGAGCCTCACTGATCTGTGAGCACAGATGGGAATGCTGCCGTGCACTAAAAGAATGAAGTCTGCTTGGATGGGCATAAAAGGTGCCCAAGGGCACCTAGGATGTTTGCTTCTTGCTAAATCAAAAATGCAGAACAGAAAATAGACTCAAAGGACCGCCGGGAAGCCAGAGAATCAGCTCTTTGAAAACGGCTGCTCTGGGTTACGGTCAACTTTCCGTAGCTCCCACAAACATCACATCACTGGCACCAACTTAAAAGGAAGAAACAAAGAGACAACAGGGGTCAAACTTTGGGGTGGAGGCGCTAGGGGCTGGGGGTGAGTCTAGGGCTGGAGACCTGCATCAATTATCCCTGTGACAGGATTCATGAAGGAAGGAGGCTCCAACCGCCCAGCCCCCAAATTGAGGCAATTGCTACCTTATGAGCTCTGGGGCTTGTCTCCGTCCTCGGGCCCAAGGGAGGGAGAGCTTGGAATTCTAAACTGTTCCAGCTACAAGAGACCTCAGCCAGCACCTCTCACCTTGGGGTCACAGCAGTCTAAGGGTGAGGAGTTGTAGTTGCGCCCTGAATGTTCTACAAAGAAGCTGCATCTCCCAGATGTCTCTAAGGAGAGTGGGCTGCTCTACGCAAGTAAGCTTAATAGATTTCTTTTCCGGAAGTGTGGCCAGGCAGGAACCATGCTTAGGTTTCATGAGGCTTTGTGGGGGGAGAAAGGAGGCTCAAGATCTTCCCAGAGAAAAGCAAAACACCAGCTGAAATGAATGAAGGACCAAGCCTGTATTTAAGCATAGGATACTGTGGTGTAGTTATTTGTTTACCGGGCTCCTGTATCCCAAAGGTAAGAACCATCTCTGATCAACTTATGCAACCTTGCTAACAAACAGGTGACATTCAACGAGCCCTAGAGTAACACAGTGGTCACCAGGCTCTGTGCCAAGTAGTCGGAACATGCTCAATTTCTATAGCGTTCTTAGGTGAAAACTGACTACTTTTCTCCTCCCATCAACCCACCCTTATATGCAGATAAGAACCCTGAAATTTAGGCAGATTCGATGTTTCACACAGGGTCCCTAAGAAGTGCCAGGTCTGCCTGTGTTTCTCAGTTGCTGAGCTGTGTACATGAGCTTAATGCTTGAGAAATACCTGTCTGCTGAATGACGGAACAAATGAATGGGTGCAGAGCCGAGTTTGGGGAAAGCTGAGTGTATCAGGAGAGAGCTGGGTCCTGGCAGCTCCAAGCTGGAGGGCCAGTGGCAGCACAGGCAGTCAGCAGAGCTATTTATAGGGCTACACGCAGGCTCTGCCCGCCAACCAGCCAGCACCAAGTCCTCCTAGGGACCCCAAATTCCCACCAAGCCGAGAAGGGCAGCAAGATGAGATGGCAACCTGACAAGTCACAGTATGGGACTCAGAGGCCCTGTATCCAGGCAACTGTGATGAAGTGGTGGCTAGGCCGCGTCAAGGAATATAGAGACATTGGCTAGAACAGGCCAAGGGCACAGAACTGTCCTGTCATTATGAGACACACCCAACCATAAGAAAGACAAGACTGCTTCTCAAAGTGGTCTCCAAAATTATTCTGTTCTCATCCAATAACCCCTTAGTGTTTATTCTCTTTCAGGAACAACGTCATAAACAATCCCTCTCATTTTTGCTTCTTCTTAGGGATCAAAGCTCGCAGTTCATCAGTAGAAAGTAGAGGACTACTGATTAGAAAATCCCAGAGCAAGCAAAGAGCT